TGGCTAGTACTTGAGCTCCTCGAGGCAGGGATCCGTCTTCTACCTCCTTGGTCTCCTGTTCTTATGCCTTCCAGGTGGAACACATCTGGCCTGTGCCAGCCTCCCCAGCTTCATCTCCTGCCAGGCCCCCCTTGCTTCCTTGAAAGATTCCCCACAGGCTTGTTGGTTCCTCATTCTTGACATCCCTTTTGCCTCTCCACTTTCTTCCTCCAAAAGAACTTTCTACAGATTACTGCTGGCCAGAATAATCTTACCTCCTCACTTCATCTTGATAACTCCTACTCAGTCTTCAGATCCCATCTCAATAATCACCTCCTCAAGGAAGCCCTCCCTGATTTCTCTAAGGAGTTCAAATCTACCTAATACTCTCATTAGTGTTGTTTGTCTCTCTTTTATAATATTTATCACTTGCAACTTTACTCATAAAATTTTTGGATTTTTGTCTATCTCCCCCACCAACTGCCAGGTTCATAGACGCAGAGACCATGTTTTTCTTCTCTGTCTTTTCTTTCTTTCTTTTCTCTTTGCAACTCTGGGTTCCAGTGCCAGCTCTGCCACATGCTAGCTGTGTCATCTTGGGCAGGCTATTTCAACCACTCTGTGCTTGAGTTTTTTTATCTATGTAATGAGGATAATAATAGAGCCCATTTCATGGAGTTTTTATGAAGATTAAATAAGATAAAATTTGCAAAGTGCTTAGAAGAACAACTCTTGAGACACTTTCGGTGTTATCCAAGTGTGTGTTAAATAAACATCAGGTGAAAACACGTTTGAATAATAAATAACAAAGGTGTGTTAATACTGACTTTCCACTTTATGTTCAGGAGTCTGGACTCATTCATCCTCACCTCCATTGGATGCTGTCCAGGCAGGACCTGCTCACAGTCACATCCTCCTGAGATGTAGCTGGTATAATAGGGAGGGTCGGCAGGTCTTACGAAGTATCTGTCAGATACCCAGCCCTGTTTTATTCCCAGTGCTAGGAATGCTAAGAAGTATGTGTCCAGGGAGGATGACTCAGGGCATTAGAAGGGATGACCCATCACAAAAGTTCCCAGACACAACTTTTCAGAGAGAATTTCTGGGAAAAGCAAAACTAGTGGTGGGCATGGAGAATTTCATTTTGCAAAACTCTGCCAGATCCCCACGCTGGTCTACTCAGGAAAGGGAGAGCCTGATGGATGATGGGACATTTCTGAGGATCTTGAGACAATTAATGATCCTGCTTTTGACATGCCTGAGGGTAGCTAAAACTAAAACACAGAAATTATGCAACTGAGCCAGTCACGTAGCACGGGCGAGACTGAGCCGGGTCAGATCTCTGGACTCCAGACTTACGTTCAATCTGATGAGATTCAGGGCTGCACTCTTATCCCAGCACAGACTATGTTTAGTCACAGAAGCTGTTAACATAATTTCAGAGTTGTGTGACCAGAGACTCCTGGGCCATCTGGTAAAAGTGACGTTACCAGGAAATGAAAGTACTCAAAGCTCTGGAGAAAGTGTGTTTCAAGATCAAGTAGGAAAACAGTGAGAGAGAGAGAGAGAGAGAGAGAGAGAGAGAGAGAGATGACACGTCAGAACAAGAAGAGCAGAAAGTAGCTGTATATATAAGCACAAGAGAAGCTGTTGTATTATGGGCAACCTGGAATCAGGGCAACCGTGTTACCATTTCACTGCTAACTTCTAGAACATGCTGAGGTTGGTGCAGCCTTCAATACTGAAAACAGACAATTTGTAATTGCACGTTTGCTTTTAAGTTTGAATATCTGGACATCTAGGAATTCAATTTTTTTTAAAAAAAAAGGCTTAAGAAGACTTAAAAGAAGTTGAAAAAATATCCATTTTTTACTTTCTACTCTTTCTCAGTCCCTTTCTTGGTTCCCATTCAGTGCAACAAAGGGTGGAAGAAAGTTAATGGGTTTTGCAATTGCACAGACCTGGGTTCAAGTCCTGACTCTGCTACTACCGGCATGGCCTTGAGCTACTTGCTTAGCCTTTCTGACCTTCAGTTTCCTTACCTATGAGTTGGTTATGATAATACTTACAGGTCTGATGTAAGCAAAGCCTCTACCAAGTGCCTGGTACACAATACGTACTGAGCTAGGTACGGACTGCAGCATATCTTAGACTCATCTAAAATGCCAGTTTAAAATGGATTTATCACAAAGGTATAATATTGATGCAAGGATAAGACAGATCAAAGGAGCAGAATAAAGAGTTCACTAACACACCTGCACATGTATGGTTACTTGATTTTTGACAAAGATTCCAAGACAATTCAACAGGGAAAGAATTTTCTTTTCAACAAATGGTGCTAGAGCAATTGGACATCCTTTTGCCATAAACAACACAGCAATAACAAAAAACTTGGCTCATACCTTACACTGTAGAATAAAATTAACTTAAAGTGGATCACAGGACTAAATGTAAGAGCTAAAACTATAAAACTTTCTAGAAGAAAAATAGGAGAGAATCTTCATAACCTCAGATTAAGCAAAGATTTCTTAGATAGGATTAGAAAAGCACAACCATAAATTTTTTTTGATAAATTGGACTTCATCAATATTAAGAAATGTTTGTACTTCAAAAGACACTGTTAGGAAATGGAAATGTAAGCCACAGAGTAGGAGAAAATATTCACAAAATGGATTTATTTCTTAACATCTAAAGCTGTGGCCTAGGGTAGATATAATTAGTAATTCTTGTGTGCCCCCATCCTCTCTCTGATAAAGTGCACTTTCTAGATGTTTCCCACCCCTCTTATTTATGCCCTTATTCACTGCCACAATTCTCTCAGTACTGTCATGGATGAGGTCTGAAGAGAAGATTGAGCTCTGTGTTGTAAGGTCGCAAGCCCCAGGTCTTAAGTTCCATTCCTGGAGGTGGCAGAAAAGGGAAAGAGCGGTAATAGAAAGTCTGGAGCCAGGCACATGCACATCAGGAAGCAGCCTGAGGCCCTAGGTAGCCGCAGGCATTGTCATCTCAACAATGATGACAAAAAGTGTAGGGGGAGCATGCCACGCTCTGCCAGACATGGCGCTAAGTGCGTCCTTTGTATTCTTTTCATTTCATCTGGGCTGTTTCCTCCCCCACGTCTGCAATAGATTTTGTTCTTCCTGTGTCTCTGACTTGCTTTGTCCTGTGGGCTTCATCCTAGATTTGTCCCCGCACCCATGCTGTTGCTTGGTTTTACTGCCTTGGGACTGTGGCTCGGCTTTGGGGATTTATTTTGTTTGAAACTTCAGCCTCTGTTTGTCTTCCCAGCACCAGGCTTTGTACTTCCTGCTCCTTGAATCTGGCCACCCCTTTCCCCACCTCCCCTCTGCCTCTGCAAAGCTTCCAGTTTGCAGTGCTTGCCAGTCCCTGGGTGACTACTAATCTCATATATCCCAAGGTAATGTGTCTACAATACTGGGGTCAAGAATCAACAGGCATGTCTCTTCTGGGTCTCTCTTGCTCTAGTCTCCCAGAGACACCACTGTAGGCTCAGATGTAGATGGAAGTCTGCCAGTGCTTATGGTGGATACAGATGGAAAAGGCCAAGTCCACCATGGCCAAGGCAGCTGTGAAGCTTCTTCAAAATTAATACAACTCTGAGGGTATTTTTACTGGTGTGAGCAAATTTCCATTGTATGGATGATCCTGGTGTTGAAATGATCAGCAGTTGATACCTCAGTGCCAGCTGGAGATTTATGGCTTGTTCCAGGTTGTAGGAACCCAGCCCAAGCCATTAGGCAAGTTGTCCAGTGGGAAAAACAGTAGCATGTGCTCATCTTCCCACTCTTTCCACAGGTGTCCTATTAGAATTAGAGTCAGGTGTCAACCCAGGTAATTCTCTGCAGCTGCAGTGCAAGTTCCCATTTGGTCAAAGGGATGGCGACCTGTCTGCCCTCATCTTCAATTTGATGACAGCAGGACCGCAAAAAAGGTTTCCTTTAGAGTTGGATCTCAAAGTAGTTTGGCTGCAAGTCATAGGCCACAGACAACTGGAAGCAGAGGATCGTTCCCAGTTGATTTCAGCTTAGAACGAGAGCTACTCAGAATAAGCATCCCAGGGAGCAGAGGGACTGACATCAAAGTCTTCAAGTCCTCTTCCAATTTTGATCCCAGCAGCCATTTTAAGATAGGTTTTAAAAACTTGAACTGTGCTCTGTCGCTCACCAGAAGAATTCCTGCTCCTCACCTGACCCGCCAGAGACAGCAAAGAGATGTGTGAATGGTCTCTGTGTGACGCCCAGAGGGGCAGCTGGGGATGCAAAAACGTGGCAGAACCTGCCAATAGTACCCTCCCCATCACATGTTTCCACTTTGCTCAGATCATTGTAAAGAATCTGGAAGATTTTTAAGATAATTATATTAAAAATAGATTCGTGAGCTTAATGTGGAAGAAAGGTATAATCTTTCCGTGGTTTTAAAGGGCTAATCTGTACCAGCCTGCCATAAATCTTAGCACGGTTATTCAGCTGACAAAGACTGAAAAAGTCACATCATACATATAACTCTACCTGCAGAAGCCCCTCCACACCTGACAATGTTACAGATCAGGAGTCTGAGGTGCAGAAGTGTGAGGAAGGACTTAACTATGCAGAGTTGATGGAAGAACTGAAACTTAAGCCCTTGTTTCTTGACTAAATCCTGCACTTGCTTCTGACTGCCTTTCAACCAGATGATGGGATTTGACTGCCTCTGAAAACTTGTGCAGGACATAATGGTTATTCCCTAAGAGGGGGATGAAGAATGAACTAATTTTCAAGAAGGGTGGACTCTGAGGTAACGATTCCAACTTAGTACATTCTTTTCTCCTCTTTTCGCTCCTTTTCACGGCCCCCCTGAGCACTCTGGCTTGGCCCTGGGGCGTGAGGAGCAGTTGCCACTTCCCGGTCTTTTTCTTTCCACAGCTGCAAAGTTGAGCAAGTTGGAGTGCTGTGCTTTGAGTTCCCCGCTCACTCCGCCACAACCAACCTCTGTTGTAAATTTTCCTCCCAGAGCACGTGACGATGCATTTCTTGACTATATATCCCAACTGCAGCAGCAGAGTTGTCAGAGTGCACAGCCGGACACAGAGGAAGAACGCTCTTGGACTTGAGGATTTAGGAATTCAACACTTGGGACGAATTGTCAGCCTGTGGTAAGTCAGCAGTGCTACTTTGCTTCAGAACCATTTGAAAGAGGGGATATTTCTAACAAGGAACAGACGAAGTTTTTCTTTCTTTTCTTTCTGTTTCTTTCCTTTGCTCTAAGAAAACTTTGCTTTAAATTAAAAATAGTTTTGTTTTAGAAGCAAAATGGAAACTTTGCTGCTGCCCCATTTGTTAAAATATGCTTCCCAATGTTTTTTAATCTTTCCATGTTTTAAAGTTTTGCCTTATTTTTAATTGATACATAATAATTGTACATATTTATGGGGTACAATATGATGTTTCCATAAACATATATACTGTGTAATGATCAAATGAGGGTGGTTAGCAAATCCATCACCTCCAAAATTTATCATTTATTTGTGTTGAGAAGATTCAGAATCCTCTCTTCTAGTTATTTTGAATGTTTCCCACTTTTTAAGATATTATTTATTTTCTCTATGCTCCCCTGTCATATTAGATATTTTTAGTCTATAAAAGTAATATATGCTCACTTTATAAAATGCAAATAGGACAGATATGTATACATTACAAATGCAAGTCCTTTTTACTTTCTTCCTGCCCCTCTCCCCAGCCTCTCCCCCAGGCGCTCCAAGCCCTTCCAGCTAACCCCTGCTAACTGCTGGACGAGACCTCTTAGACTGTTTCTTTCATGCACTTGTAAGCCTTCTTTGTCCCTGACAAACATGCTTGTCCTCGTCCCTGTGTCCTGGGCCTGTAGGAGAGCTCTAACCTGCAGCTTTCTCCCCAGACCCTGCTGTGCGAGCAGCACTCGCTTCAATGCTGAAGATGGAGCCTCTGAACAGCACGTACCCCAGCACCGCAGCCTCCAGAAGCCCACTTGAGTCCCACGTGCATGGTGGCAGCAGCAGCCGTGGCCATGGCCACGGCAATGAGTACTTCTACATTCTGGTCGTTATGTCCTTCTACGGCATTTTTTTGATTGGGATCATGCTGGGCTATATGAAATCCAAAAGGCGGGAGAAGAAGTCCAGCCTCCTGCTGCTGTACAAAGACGAGGAGGGGCTCTGGGGGGAGGCCATGAAGCCGCTGCCCGTGGTGTCCGGCCTGAGGTCGGTGCAGGTGCCCATGATGCTGAACATGCTGCAGGAGAGCATGGCACCCGCGCTGTCCTGCACCCTCTGCTCCATAGAAGGGGACAGTGTGAGCTCCGAGTCCTCTTCCCCGGACATGCACCTCCCCATCCAGGAGGAGGGGGCGGACGATGAGCTGGAGGAGACTTTGGAGACCCCCCTCAATGAAAGCAGTGAAGGGTCCTCAGAGAGCATCCATCAGAATTCCTAGCACCCCACGGTCCCTGCAGGTGGCTCCATCAGCCAGCACCCTTAGAGAGAGGGAAGACATTTTTCAAGTGTCTGGTTTCACTTTTGCAGTGCAGCTGCCACCTTGAAGAGACCCTCGGCAAACCCCCAAATCAGGATGGGGAGGGGGACAAGGCTCAGCCGGAGCCAGCAGAAGTGAAGAGTCCACTCTGTGCCTGTGGTTTGGACCCGCTACTGAAAAAGCCCTGAAGATGACATGCAGCGTGTGCTTTTACTCTGGGGCCAGGGTGTTGGGGTTCCTGTTCAGAATTCGGCCCAGGATGTGCTTGTTGTTTCTTCACTGGATGCCCTGGGTAACTCCAGCAGCACCTGCCCATTCCCAGGGCTGCCAAATGCCCAGAGCCTGCAGAGGGACTAGTTTTGATTTGAAAATTTACCTAGAGCTTTGTTCTTCTAGATCTGATGGGCTGTAAGTATCTCTACTGTGTACCTGTGGCATTCGTTCACAATAGGTTAGAAGCTTCTTTTGGAGGTCTTTTGGATTGGGAGGTGGAGGGAGAATTTGATGGAGGATTTTTGATGGGAGAAAGCTGGACCCAGCCTATTTGCACACTGTAAGGGGGAAAAAAGCAACTTTTAGAACTGTTAACATTGGCTGGGCCTATGAGACAAGATCTATTATTTTGACTTTTTGTCTAACCTATGACCTTGAGCTTTCTGACCTGTGACTGTCCAGTATCCAAAGCTGGCATGCCAGTTTTTTGGTCAGAAGAACTTCCCTCGAGTCAAACCTGCACTCTGAATGGTGGTGCAGGGACTCTTCCTGATCTTTCCAGAAGGGGCAATTGTGGGGTTGAACAAAGCCAAGCCAAGCTTGCTGCTGCTCATTTTCCCAGCCTACTTTTCTGCACTGGGAAGGATATAATGTGAGCCTCCCAATGTTGTATTTTGACATGTAGCTGAGACCTAGAAGGGCATCCTCAGAGATAGCACAAAGCTGGGGCCCACGTCCTATGCTTTCCGATCCTGAGCCCTGACACTCATTTGCTGTGTGGTCTCAGGCATGTCATCACGGGGCTCACTGCCTCCAGGAGACTCCTGATAATCTCCAATCCCAGGGGGCTGGAAGGATGTCTTTAGAGTTTAGGACTCTGTGATAAATCTTCCATGGTCTGGTGTGAGGAAGCTTGGACCAAATATTTCCCCTTTGGCCAGTTAGTCTGAAAAGGGATCTGCTGATTTAAAGGAGGAATTGGAGACTAAGAACAAATTTAACTGGGGAATTCAGGGTGAATCACCAACCCTTCCCCTTCCCTGATGTAGTTTTCCCAGGATTCAACCAAAGAAGCAGATACCGCATTTTCCTCTTCAGAGTTCTCCAGACAGTGAGATGTTAACACTCCCAGCTAAAGGAAAAAGAAGTCTACACGAAAACGCTCATGAATGCTTGCCAGTGTCTCCATGTGTTCCTACGGTCAGTAGCTGTGTAGTAGATTCTGCAGGCCCTTGAAGACAAGGAAGAAATAAAACACACCAAAAGATCAAATTTAGTTCTAGCAACCACTCTCTCTGTTTTTTGTTTTTGTTTTTTTTAACAAAAACAAAAACAAAAAAAAAATACTCTCCCTGCACTGGGGACACAGCAATAACTACTGTTCCCATGGAAGGGTTAACAGTGTAGGAGCCGGTTTATCAGTCTGCTTTGACACAGAGCTAGAGGAAATTTATGTTTAGTGGAAAAGGGCCCTTCGTTCACTTTAAAATTCAGAGTGTGGATTTACTCCAAAGGGGGCTGTTTAAGTTGAGAGAAGCCAAGTTACGTTTGGCCCCTTGCCTGGAATCACTTGAATTCTGAAACTTTACTGCGACGGACATGTGCCTTGTCACATTTTCCATTGCTTAATCCTGAAGTTTGGTGCAAGTCTATCTGCGCCTTTTAAAAAGTGATGTACATACTTCCTTCTTATTCTATTGAGTTGTACAGAATTGTCTTTTGTATTTAACAGTTTGTAATTTTCACAATATTTTTTAATTTAAATAAACGAACACATTTTCCCTGGGAAGTCATGAATTCTTTGTTTCTTCAATATAATCCTGGTTTCTGAGGCATCACAGACACATTCTCCAGGCCGTCTCTGGATTTTGCTCATCTTCCAAGTCAGACTCTCCTGAAGGCATATTTTATGTCTGCATGAACCATGGGGTGAGTGAGGCTTGGTTTCCTATCCTTTGATATGCTTTGCAGTGAATGGAAAATAAGCTGCAGATGGTCTTAAATCAACTCTTCTTTTTTTAATTTGGTGGCCGTGGAGGCTTTGCACTTAAACGTGCGGTGACATGGCAACTGCAGCTAAGAGGTTGCTCCAAATTTGGTTGCAAGAAAATGTTTGATTTGAGTGTTGGCTTGGCCCCAGCAGCACAGGCTGATGGGCAGGGAGTCGCTGGATATACAACAACATGAATTTAGGAACACACCGAAGCACAAATTTCATGTGTTGGGGTTGACCCTCCCTCCCCTGCCAGTCTTTTCCTTGCTAAGACTGACTTCGAGGTCCTTCTCAGTTGGTCTGGCTACATCTCTTGCCAGGCCTGCTGCAGCTTCTCTTTTATGATTTTATATATACAGTCAGAAGTGCTAAAGAAAAATTACCAACACCTACAATCCACTTTTGAATCAAGCAGCTGACAGAAAGTTTCCTTACTTTTATGTTTCTCTGTTTCCCATGACCTTGGCTTTTCTGTTTCAAGTAAATGCTCCCATAGGCTCACAAATAACTATCTACTTAAAGGNAACCTACAATCCACTTTTGAATCAAGCAGCTGACAGAAAGTTTCCTTACTTTTATGTTTCTCTGTTTCCCATGATCTTGGCTTTTCTGTTTCAAGTAAATGCTCCCATAGGCTCACAAATAACTATCTACTTAAAGGATTTACCTGGGAATGGTACAGGAGAGTCTGGATCCTTCTCAAATAATATCAAGGATCACAGTCTACCAGATGGTACTTTCATGATGTAAGATAAAAAGATTATTTTAAAAGACAAGATAGCCCTTCATTTTTTCCCAGCTTGATGTCATTCTTGGTAAGGAAATAGTTAAGAAAAACTTTTTTTTTCCCCTTACCGTGGCCGGAAGAAGAGGGAATTCTAAACTCTAATTGTCCTAAAAATATGCAGAGTACACTATGTCATTTTAATGGAATATTTGTTTTCTTAAAAAAAGAAAAAAAGAAAGAACTTCTAAGCAGAACCTGAGGCCCCCGGGGTTTAGTCTGTGTGGATTTACTCATTTACTCATGCATGTGAAAAATGGAGAAGGAAATCTGGCCCTGTGCACCTAAGATATTAGAAACATATTTTAAAAGCACTTAAATGTTAAGGATGAGGTAAATGGATTGTCCTGTTTGCTCCATGCTGTTCTAATTACACCTTTGTACGTCAGAGTCAAGCAGGGATACTGCAGAGAAAAAGATTTCTTTCATGCACAGAATCATGGGATCAAAAGTACCAGGAAAAGCTGAAGTCAGGCCAAGGAATGAGTGCTCTTGGCTCATGGTTCTGTTTGGAAAATGGACTCCACGGTGCATTTCAGAACTGCGATTGGAGGGTTTTGTGGTCAGAGGTGCACTTCCAGGGTGCAGCTGAAGAAGGGTCATTTATCATTCTGTAAAATGCTGCTCTGACCCTAGATGGTGTGGAACAGACAGAACATTGAGCTTCAGATGTCATTTAAACTCCAAGTTTAAACAGAGCTTACATTTGCTCCATACCTTTACCTTAAAGTCTGGGCACTGTGCTGCAGAAAAATCACAGGGCATTTCATGGATCATGGGACTGCAGACAGAGTCAAAGGCTGGAGGAACACATGTCAGCCAGTTGACCAGGACGGTGGTTAGGCTGGGGCTGGAACACAGGAAGGCGGAGTGTAAATGGAAGGCTTGCAGAGGCTGAGCCTTGTTAAGTCTGGCTTTTTAGCCTGACTCTGCTACTGTGTTGCTCTGTAGCTCTGATGAAGACACCCAACCTCTCTGACCTCTCTCTTTTAACATGAGGACACCACACTGGTCTTCCTCTTTGGGGAGCTGTTCACAAAAGGAACAGCGAGATGCCTCGATTAACACTGAGTGCTGCGTGAAACTAAAGCAAAAGCAGCGTCAGGCTTCTGCTTTTAAAAATGTGTCATGGGCATGCATCTGCAAATAAAGCCACAGAAACATCCTCTTCTGTGGACGGTTTCCTCAGGAGACCGCAGTGTTGAAAAAAAGGACACAATTTGCCAAAGGAGAAGGGTCATAAGAGTGAAAAAACCACTGTAAAATTCTTCCTTTCCCAATTTCTGAGATGTTTCCTCCTACACAGGAAGGGACAGTTTGGGATGTGAGCTGTCACCATGGAGATAGCCAGCCAAGGTCACTTGATTGCAGGAATCTGGGCCCACTGGCACTGGATCCATAAGGCCACTTTGTGAAGTTGCCGTTTGGTCCTTGGCCCAGATGACGAGCTTTGAGCACACTGCAGCCTCTGTTCATGGGCGGAGGAGGGGGTGTGGGGACAACACTGTTCTCCTCTTGTCCTGCACGATCCCCCTCTTCCTGCACCCCCATCTTGCACCCCTTGCAATCCCATCCTCGCACTTCCCCTGCCCCGTTCAATATAGGGCTGAGTTCTTGTTCTCCCATCCCTAGGAATTAATTTTCTTACCTTGCATTCTCTTGCTGAGAAACAGAATCAAAGAATTCTTCACATTAATAACTATACTCCTTCCCTCTCTAATGGTTTTCCTCCCTCGTTCTACCTTTATCCAGCCTCCCTCCCTCTCTTCCTCTCTCACTTCCTTCCATTACACAAAAGGAATAAAAATAATCGTAACTATAATGCATAACACTTGTTCAGCGCTTATTACGTTCTATGCACATACTTCATCCAATCTTTACAACTCTGCGCTTTGAGCTTGTACTCTATTTTAGGCACTTCTTTCTCCAGGTGCTGGGTAAAATGTAACATCTCCAATATGTGACCCCCAAAGAGGTCAGAGTCCTTATATAAATGAATTCCAATAAAATTAACTCTGTTTCTGATTAATTTATTACATTGAGCATTTCTGTGTGCAGGCTCCCTACCTCTAGGAAGGATGTAAGTATACATGGCTTGTGTCTTTGAACACTTTAAGAACACCAGGTATAACTAAATGACAAGATGTATTTCCTTTGCTCTGTGATAGGCACGTTCCTTCCAATAATCTCATTTAATCTTCCCAAGGAATCTGTGAGGAAGGTCTATAATACTGTTAATCTAG